TATATATATATTATATATCGTATGTCTGGGGGTTTTAAAGTCGTGTCCATGTTTATATCTATTTGTCCCTAAGTTTCTAGTTTCTATTCATTTCTAATTGGGTTTTTTTCTTTTCGGGTTGTTGTTTTTCTTTCTTTCTTTTTTTTTGCTTTTGTTTTTGTTTTTGTAGATGGTGAGGTATCAAGAGTTGCACTTACTGCGCTGTTACGGGTTACATGAAATCAAGTTTGGAACCTACTGCGCTATAACGTGTCATGACTGAGTATGTCTTTCGTTGTAATAAAACTAAATCAGAGCATTCTCTGTTTTTATATTCTTTCCCTTCAGGAGCCAAAGCGAGTTATCTTACCGGTGACGCCACTATGCCGATAGCAGAAGGACAATATCGGAACGCTGTTTGTAACTACAAGCCACAGACTTCAGTTATTATTACCTAGATCGTGCCCTTATCGTGGCAGTCGCTCTTTGTTCTCTATACAAACTTTGTTGGGGGCTCTCATGGCCTAAAGGTTAAGGTGTTGGCCTCTCATTCAAAAGGTCCCGGGCTCGAATCCGGGTAGCGACCGAAAAATTTTCTTCTCTAAATGTGTCTCCTTTCACCTATGTTCCTGCTCTCTAGCAATGTTCTGTCGTCTGCTTTCGTCTCCTCTTTCTGATCCCACCCGCTCACCACCTTTGCCACCTCCTCTGGGCTCCTGATTCTTTCTGCAGCCTTTCTACTGCTACTCCTTCGCTTCTTTTTACTGCTGTCTTTCAGCCACACCCTGATCTTCTGGTAGGAAACATCTACACCTAGCCTTCTCGGACAAGAGCGAAAAATCTCGGAGGGCCCGTGTGCAAGTTGCGTACGTTAAAGATCCCTTGGTTGTCTAAAATCGATAATAGTAGGCTTCGGCCGCCACCCGGGCAAAATTCAAAATGTCCTACCAACTGAAAATATTAGGTGCGTCCCGCGCGCTCATATGACGTTATGCAGTTGTGAGCGCCAAAAACACTTTACAAAAAAAAAAAAAAAAAACCTTTGTTGTAGTAATGTAAAGCGTTCGGTCCATGGGTTGCGGCATTACGCTCAAATGAAAGGACAAAGTGCCTCAGACTCTAAGCGCTGTGTCTAGTGGGTTTTCTTGGAGAGCTAACGTATTATCGATAGATCAAATGGACTATAGATACTTTTGCTGTGTGGAAAGATAAAGGGAAAGAAGAGCAGGGGAACTTTGCCACGAATAACACAAAGACAAAAACTGAGCTGATCAAGAAGACAGGCAACAGGAATGAATGGAATACCATGGTCGTCAATGTCTGCTCCAGACCGACTCCTCGCTACCCCAGAATTACAAAGTTCCTATCTGTTCAGTGCTTAGCTTTGAGAAATTTGACGTCAAAGATTTTGAGTTTCACATCATGTCTAGCTTTTTCGAATGCACTACTTTGAATGTCTTGGTGACGATTCCGGACAATCTTACCATTGTGATAGAGCGTAAAGAACATTTGGTTTTTGATCCCATGGTCTTTGTCCCTGAAAACAGTAAAACACGTCAAATAGAAGTTTGTAACTCTAAGGTAGCAACCTGAAGTTGAAGAACTTATTATGTTGGAAATTGCAGTAATTGTAGGAGATTACGTAATTAGATCAAAACAGCTCTCTCTCTCTCTCTCTCTCTCTCTCTCTCTCT